TTGTGCGTGTTTTCCCTAGTCAGAATAGATATCTGTGGCTATTCATTCCACTTAGCACGTCTGGATGAAATACATTTAAGGAAGATATTCTCAAAAATACATATTATGAATAAGTGAACAATTAAATTTATGTACTTATTACTTTCGTCGTCAGGAATAGCCTGCATGGCAAGCGCCGGGTAGTTTTGGTTAGCTTTTAGGGCTTTTTTATAGAGCGCGCGAGCGTCCTCGAAATTTCTCCCTTCGCCCTTGATTAGTCCCTAGTGGGGGAGCAAGGGTCGCGTAGTGGTGAGAACACTCGCCTCCCATCAATGTGGCCCGGGTTCCAATCCCGGCGTCGACGCCATATTTGGGTTAAGTTTGTTTTTGGTTCTTTCCCTTGATTCAAGAGGTTTTTCTCCGGGTACTCCGGTTTTTCCCCTCTCTACAAAAACTATCGTTTCCAAATTACAATTCGATTAGGAACAGTAGACGAAAAACAACTCTGTGTATGTGCTGCTTCTTTAACAATTATTCTTCGAGCACGAATGGGCACTGATTCAATAGCCCATGAGGCCGAAGGCCGAATGGGCTATTGACTCAAACGCCATGAGGGCGAGAGGAATAACTGTTTTAGTAAAATCCAACTAGATGGTCAAAAATATCGAGAATAAAAGAATTTTAGCTAGTTGAAGCTAGACTTTAATCCTTTTTGCCGCCAAAAAACCCGCGCTTTTCGCTACTAGTGGGCTATAACATATAGCCTAGTAGTAGCTCAACCAATCAGAACGCAGCATTGATAATAGACCACTAGGTGGATTTTACTAAAAATCTTTATTCATTCTATAAGTATTATTACCTTTTTTTATTCATTATTATTATTATTATTATTATCATTATTATTATTATTATTATTATCATTATTAACGCTTGCAATCCGCCTGGGTGGTCTGGGCCTTGAAGGAAGCCGCGAGTAAGCTTCTTCAGTCAAAGTAACAACACCCCTCGTTCAACAAATCGTATCTCAGTCACACCAGCTACCGAAGATTCCGTCATAAAATCAGCACAGCAAGCAGTGTGAAGTAAAAGATCACAGGAACTCGAAGAAAGGGATCGAAAACGTATCAAGGAGATGGCACCACAGAAGACTAAGCGAGCATTAGATCTGGCGATGGAAAAAGGTTCATCGGCGTGGCTCACAGTGCTTCCTATCCAAGATTTGTGCTTCAACCTGAATAAAAGGGAGTTCTGCGACGCTTTAAAACTACGCTAAGAATTGTTGAGAAATACAGCAAAAACTTGCCAATTTATGACGAAAAGGTACTTTAAAAACGAACTAAAACATTCAAAACGCTTTGATCACGTGACTGATGACGTCACTTCCCTCTTTTCGTCATGAAAAAAATTATCAGGTAGAAAATTACTTTCCCGCAAATTTTCTCTGCCGTACCCTCGGCCTAGTCTCCCGACTTTTTCGCTCATGCTCATATATTACCCTCTTAAATTTTAAATGCCGGACGTCAACTGGTCATTTTTAAATGCCCCACACAACTAAAACCTCAAATGTGCTACAGTCGACTCTCTCTTAACGGACACCTCTATAAGACGGACAGCTCTGTAAAACGGACACTTAGAGTTGGTCCCTGCCTTTCTTTACTCCTTTTATTTGACTCTCTATAAGACGGACACCTCTCTAAGACGGACACTTAGTGCCGGTCCCAAAGGTGTCTGTCATAGAGAGAGTTGACTGTATTTGTTTTTAACTCTTTAATGAAATCTTGTCACTGCAACAAAAAAACCTAATTGGGAAATAGTCACGTGACTGATGGCGTCATTACCTTAGATGTGATACGGGAAGATATTTTATGGCAAATGTTATCTTGTTGTGGTCTGACAGTCTTCTACGTATAAATTGTCAAAGTTATAAATATTTTTAGCACTTTTTACATTTTTACATATTTTATCACATTTTAGCGTTCACCACATTTTTATCTATTATAACTTGTTTTTAACTTATTTATGCTAATTTAGAGAACTTTTATACACTTGAAAATGACCTCGGAGAGGTCGAAACGTCGTGATTTTTTATCGCTAATATTTATCCCAAAATCGATTTCTGAGAAATTACTTATCAAAGTTATATAGCTTTTTAAAAAATTGCCTCAAAGGATTCTAGGAGATTTTTATAATTATTATAATTTACTTTTAGAATTATTATCATTTGTCCCAAGGCCGCATTATTCTGCGCGGCTAATGCGTTTCGGGTCACGTGGTCAGAGCGAAGAAGTGAGTGAGTGTTTCCTGCCCGTTCGCCATGGCGTCACCAAAGTGAACTGACCGAGAAGGCCTGGGAAAACGCTGTACAGAGACCAGGCAACCTTCGCCCTAAAAAATCCTGCGCCTTCCATGCTACGCAGGATACGTCAGGAAAGTCAGAAGAGTTGCGAAAATTACAGCCAAAAGGAACTTCATCTAGTGACGTTGTTGCTTCCCATATTCAACCACTAGTCGTGATTCTACTGACCATGGATACTAGAAAAGGGTCAGTTAAAGTTCAACCTTTTTATAAAAAAATGTTGAATCTTAAGTGTTACCGGATCGCTACAGGGCCCGACCGTCTCACGTCCACGTAATATAGCCACAAGGACCTGCACAATCTGTTCTCTTAATCAGGTTTTTTTTTTTCTTTTAGGTGTAATTTTTTTTAGCGCTTTTGACTTCCCTTAATTGTGTCATAGTGCTAGCTATTATACAAAGATGACAAAGAAAGTAATAAGTATGCACATTGTTCAGCTACTATACAATATATGTTTTTGAGGGTAACTATCTAAGTCTTGAAAGTTAAGTGGAATTGCACATTAACCACAGGCATTGAGGTGAAAAGTTTATCGTGCCATAGCCATATTAGTTTCGTGGTATGAAATCCTCTTACCAGCTAATTGTTGCACTTCACAGTTCATTAAATTTTTGTCGCTCAGGAAGTGCCTTGATAAGATACAGTCAAGTTCACAGTGATATTGAAATTGGCCAACTTAGAACAGGCGTTATCGTTTAATTTCTTGTACCGCGGTTGTCTGGAATTAATGAGGTTAATGCGGAGTGCGAAAAACGTGAAGTGGAGAAAATGAGGAGTTCGTATTTTTGTGTGGCTAAAACTCTGTTAAACTTTTCTATTTTTACAAGGGAACCACTCGCACCAAAAAATTGGTGTATGAAATTCCCCTGCAATTGCGCATTTCCCTAGAGTAATAGACAAGGCTTCACATTGCCGCCGGGCGCATATTAAGCCGCCGCGGGGGGGGTTAAACTAGATTTGTGCGAATGTGCCACTGGGACCCTCTTAGCCCATAGAAAACCAAGCTCAGGTGATTTTTGTGACCTTATACTATAGTCTAAGCTCCCCAAACCCCTCCTTTTTCTAGAGTCGCTACTTTCCAGAAACTACAGAGGTCGACACTTTCTTTGCTATTAAATTGAGTTGCGAGTAAAGTTTGAATTTGCCAGTTTCATAATTTTGAGCAACGGACGAGGTTGATTTTCGAGTGTTGATTTTCATTTTCCCTCACTATAATAAATTTTCAACCAGTTGTTCAGTTTACTCCCCCCCACCCCCTGACTACATCATGAAAATACCGACGAATAAAAACTTCTTGAGCTAACAGCACTGATTCCGGCATTTATGTGAAGAATGTGAATTCGTAAACTTACAACGAGTTTCATTGTAGAAAAAGAGTTTCCTTGAGTTTAATTGTGCCGTTTTTATCTCTTGTCACAGGACTAACCTCCCCGATTTTAAAGATATATTGAAAGTTAATGAACGTTCGATAAATATCCGATCAATAGGCTTTTAAGGTTCTAGAGCATTCTAAGTGTTTTCCTTTAAAAATAGAACATGATGAATAACCAATTTGCTAATATTAAGAGTTTCATTTGGAAAGATAAATATTATCAGTGTGCTTTTTGAGAGCGGCTTATCCTTTAAATGGAAAAACGGAGTTAGCAAGAAGGAGTTAGCAACTGAGAAGAAAGATTTGGAGTGTCGAAGGAAGAATTAGAGAGAGAGGAGAAATGTAGCTTGGAAGAGAAAGAGAAGAACATCAAGAAGAATATATGTAGATCCCTATTGCGAGTAAGTAAGATAAACCTTGAAAAGTTCAACTGGTTGATTGTGGTGGAGTTCCTCTGGTCTCTCCTTCTCCATCAATAAACGACACGCAGCATCATTTATCACTCTTTCCACTAAATGACAAACTCTTGTACACTCCTCATTTTCCACACTCCCGTATTCAAAACACTTTGCAGTCTATGTTTTCCACATTCCACACTCCTCGTTATCCACAATTCACTCTACACTACAGCGCACTTAGCCTGCCCCTCCTCCCTTCTCCCTCACGCAGTCTCGCGCCCAAATTCCCTACTCCTCCTTCCTCGCGTGCGATCTCGCGAACGAATCCCATTCCCCTTCCCTGTCGAACGCCTGCCATGCAGGCTACAACGCACTCCTCGTTTTCCACAATCCACACTCTTCGTTTTCCACACTCTACACTACACCGCACTTAGCCTGCCCCCCATGCGGTCTCGCGCCCAAATTTCCTTCCCCTTCCATTTCGAACGCCTGCCACTTAGGCCTCACCGCACTCCTCGTTTTCCACACCCCGCACTCCATTTATACTGCCAGTAAAATCGACTTTCTTGAATTTATCTGCAGATTAAGCTACAATAGATGGCGCTGTTTAGCCACACTAAAATTCTTTTCCAAAGACAGTAAAACAGCGATTTAAATGACAAAAAGTTGTAAGTAGGATCGTGCTGGAATTTTAATGGTTGAAGGGATGTTGAGGCACTTGAACTACAATCTAAAAGTGCTGGAAGTGCTTATCTGATGAATATTATATTGTACGGAATTACGTGCACAGAATTAGTGCACCCGCCGGAAATGGTATTATTCCCAGCAATATCACTCCAGGTTTCACTTGCATAAAGGCTGTGGTTCTCTCTGCTTTTTGCCATTGCGACAAATTCTCACTGCAGTGAGAATCGGAGCGCAGAATTTTGGGATTTTTTTATCACCAAGATGCTGCGTTACATGCTACTGTTCTTTATCACTGCATTGCCCATTGTCATTCTTCCTCGCACAATAAGCGGCGTTCAAGGAGTAAGTCCATATTTTATTAACTGTAGATTGAAACTGTTTAAAGTGTAAATTGTTAAATTGATGGGGTGGACGAAATGTGCCTCAAGTGGTTCTTGATTCATCTCCTTCCAATTTGCCTTGTAGCATGTATGGGGGAGAAGCGAAGGGAGAATTTAACATTAGATCAGGATTCGCTTAGTCCTCAATTCCAAACCTCCTTTTGTTTTTCTTTACAATTCTTACTCCCGCATCGTTGGAGATCTGAAAAGTCAGTAACAGATAACGGATTTTTACTTTACAGAGTTCACTGCCAAACTACCATGAAGAAAAGAACATGTACCAGAGCTACTGGAAAGACACGAAAATCAAGGAAGTTGATGAAGATGCTAAAATATCAGCAAAAGGTATTACTGAAAAATATACATTAGCTATAGCATCGCCATTATTCATACTCACTTACTTTTTCAAATGTAGTCAAACAATTCCAGGGGCGTAGCCAGCTTTTCGACTAGTTGCACGCTTGGCTGACTTTGATTTCCACATATCCTGAAAACTGCACGCATGACTAGTACGCACTGACCTCACCAACACTTTGAGCTCTTAAGCTTTTTAGCTCACCTCAACAACGCATGATTTATTAAAAGCGGTAGAGTGATCAAACCAAAAATTTGTAGGCCCGGGCCAAGAGGTCTTTATAATGGGCTGCCTACGCCCCTGACGTTTGGAGTTGAATTCCTGAGAACCATATCCAGATTTAGAAAGAGAAAGAAAATTTCGTTGTCGCTTGTTGCGTGATCCATAAAACGTAAAATTAGGCGAGTTCGCGTCATAGTGGATGACGGCCAAAAAAAATGAACAAACCGTGTTATGCACGTGCAGAGTTGTTGTTTTGCTGATTAAGCCTATTGTTTTTTTGACGTTCGCTTTGTAGTCACCTAGGTCCGATCTTTAGATCCCTGTTATGATTTCGAATGAGTATGATGGAGCTAAGAATGGATTATTATACGTTTCTGGGAAACTGTCCACCTACCCCTCCCCCATAAGCCAACATTTCTGACAACCAGTTACGCACTCAGACGGGTTAGTGGTCCCGCCTATAGCTTCCAACAAGAGCCTCCCAGTCAGAAAACCTAACCACGTTCAACCCGCAGTGCATGCGGTTGACCGAGGGAGCGATGTCTGACCAGAAGTGGACGTATTGTATTCTTGGGAAGCGATTTTGCCCAAATGTTTGGCCAAATCGTCTCTATACACGTAAACGCACTTAGCACTGAGACACACTTGGTAGCTTCATGGTATATTAATAGACTGCGCCTCAATCCCGGTTGACGTGCGCCGTCTATGAACGCCGGTTTAATTTCGGAAGCCAACAATGTTCTGTTCTATTTTAGAGTGTTACCATTACACGTTCCTTAACGAGTCAAGCAGAGCAAACTCCTTTTACAACATCAGTATTGACTTCCTTTGTGATGATGATCTTAACGGATGGTATCGCTTTGGGGGAAATGCTGGAAAGCAAATGGCGGATTCATGTGTTCCGGAGTTTCGATGTGGCGCAGAACTGCCGGGTTGGCTGAATGGCAGTCATCCTGAAATAGCTGAGGGTGCTGTCCGACGCAAAGTTTGTTTCCGTTACAAAAACAATTGTTGTGAATACTCAACAAGCATCACAGTCCGTAACTGCGGAGGATTCTACGTCTACCACCTTGGGAAGCCCCCAATTTGTAACTTTCGTTACTGCGGCAACGGAACACACAAACCAAGTGAGAATTTAATTTTCCCGTATAACCTGCGTTGTCAGTTATTCCCAACCTCCTCTTCCCTCAGCCACCAACCCTTCCCCCTTCGCAATTTGTGACACCGGAACCTCGGATCCTGCATGGGAGATTTGTTCCCCCGGCCTTCCTCGTCTCTTTTTACGCCTCAAACACGATAATATATTTTCGCTTTTTCGTATATCAAATACGGTACACAATGTTTCATCGTACATTACCGAGGAAAGCATTAAAAATATCCGAAGCGTAGCCGAGTGTGACAGATTTTTTTCCCGACTCTTCAAATACAACGAACTCGAAAGCCGTTCCAGATAGAAGACTCTGACTACCATTGATGCCTCATACTATCATTACAAACAGCCAGATAGTGACTACCATTACACTCAAACTACTCACTCTTAGTCTCGCAGTTGTGGGCCAAATGCCCCCCACACCGTAAGCCATAAAGTTTCAAGTTTTCGTGTGCGACACATGAATATGGTGCTTGAGGACCTGCACTTAGCCGGGTGGGTCCTGTTATCGTAGCTAAGGACTTCAATTTTGTTGCTTTTATTACTCTTCGGCACTTTTCCTCGACTTCCTTTCTTATTTTAAGCACCTTGCCTTTACTTTAAGGGTTTAGAATATTATGAAATTGCGTTTCTATCTTATAAGGATTCTCCTATCAGATTGGAAAAGTAGACGTTTCGAAGACAAGGCAGGAATGGAGTCGTAACAGCAGCAAATGTGAAGTGCCGACTCACTGTACATCGCCACGTTGCACAGATGTGACTTTTCATCGGGAATTCGGTGGATCACGGACTGTAAGTATTTATGACTGCATACCAAGATGTGTTTCCGCACTTTTAAAAAGGACGAAGCTATGAGCTTAAACTTTAAGTCATAGTAAAACTCATGAACAATGCATCCACGGGGAATTTTAAATGAGTCAAGGAACTAAAAAATGTGTATTCCAACCCTTCATCAACTAAGAGTCAAGAATCGAAAAAAATAAATTCGCCATCTTTGGGTAATGTTACCAGACAGTTTCGTGTTGGTGTTAATCTCAGAATATAGATTTCTCAGTTGAAATGACTTCAAGTTAGACCATAGAAGCACTCGGTGTTTTCTTGAAAATAATATTGTAAAGGAGACAAAGAAAAAACGTTACAACGGTCGATCAAATCGACTAAAACAAGGAGAACAGCTGAAAGGGAACAAGTTAGTACTTCGATGGACTGACAGTGGCATATAAACGGCACTGGCGCGCTTTATCTGTTTTTACTTATACGTATTTCTAACCGATGCACAGGTCCACGTTTTTGTGTCACTGAGTCATGAAGAAAACTCATGGATGGCTCACACGCCCTCGGCTCTGTGGGCAGAATCCATCAATACAGTTGGATTTAAACTATGTTCGCGCACGGCGGGTAATAAAAACGACACGGGAATGATCAACTGGTTAGCGTTCGAAGACCAGCCAAGCACAGACATAACGCATGGAAGCGTTGCTCTTGGTGGAATATGGACAACAGAAACCAAGTGTGAAAAAGTGGCCTTTTCTCAGGTTAGATCATGAAATTAGTTAACAATCTGTTGAAAATAAAGTACAAAAATGCTACTTTTTAGCAGGAATGACATTGTGCTTTCTGTGATTTCTCAAGGTTTTTTGGTATGTAACACATTAACGTCAATCAGTGGCGGACGGAGGATTTTGTGATAGAGGGGACCTAGAGATATAGTAACTGTATACAGTGGTAATATGGGGGCGGTAGCGCCCATCAGAACTGCGAACGGCGCACTTTTCTAGGGAGTTTCGGGCGCATGGTCCTCCGCGAAAATTTTTGAGATTGAAGTTCTCTGTAGTCCAGCTGTTATCGACCGAAAATATAGCGAATTGTTCACTTTTATGATAAATCATGAAACTTTGCCAGATTACAACCAACCCTAAGACTAACATTTCTGGATATGGAGCCAAGCCAAATTCAACGCTGGACACGAGTTCTGCGCAGGCCCTAAAATGGCCTACATGAAAACGAGGCTGACAGTGGAAATGCTTCTAAAATACCAGTTTTTAAGTGTTTTGGTAAATAAAACTTGTAGATATCGTGGAAGAATACATTTGTTTTGCTGTCATCTTATCTTTGGTGTCAAATATGGCGAAGTCGTGGTTGGGTGTCCTGTGCTGGGGCTGTCTTCTGCGCATTTGGGCGTTTTAAGGGGTGAGAATGGGAACCGATTCACACCATTTTAAATGATAACACTCTTGGAACTATTTTCCAATTATCAATGGTTGGATTTGTTTTCATACAAATGTCAATTACCACACGAAAACGAGGCAAGAATCTTTTAAACTGTTTGAAGAGCCTCTAGATAGCACTGCGTACGGTCATTTGGGGGTGGATTCAGATAACATTGCATAAAAGCTTGCATTGAACAAAAATTGTGATTGTATGGCACTCTGGCTGTTGTTTTCCATCTAAATGTAGAGCGCCACTCAAAAACAAGGCAAAAATCCTTTTGATGATCTTAAAAGCTAGCCTCCAGTTTCTAGCCTCCACGTTCCCGATACTGCATTAAGCTATTAATATTCAAATAAACGAATGAATCGTTTAGGGAATTCTCCTTTCAATTATTAACAAAGTCAGTTACAAGGTTCAGTGCTGAATCGAGGAGGTGGCCCGGCCCAAATAGCTCTTCCCCCTTAATTTTGAAGAATGCCAAAGTTTGATCCTTTCAAGTTGAAATTAATATTACCGGTTGTTGCTTACATTAAATGCATGAGTTAGAACAGTCTTTGAGGTAAAAATGAACAGCAGCAAGCGATCGTGCCTCCCCATATCTCTATTACGTCTAAAAAATAGATGATAGGATAGTCTTGTAGAGACCATTTTTGAAATACGGAATTTAAAGCTCCCAAATTGATATTCCTTTAAATTTTATATTAACACATGAAAATATGAACAAGATGATCAATCTGAATGTAATAAAAAAGGCCATGTTTCTCCCCATTAAGGACAAGAAATTACGCCTTTCAAACTCAGCTCCCTGACAGAACATCGAGCGCTTTCACAAAAAAAAAAAAGCAAATTTGTTGCTACGTATGCCGTCAAGGCAGAGTATATTTAGAGTGCATGCCTATCCCTTATAATTGAACAACAACTGAGCTACTTGAAATAGATGAAGGTATTAGCTTAACTTTACTCATTTTTCTAACGGTAATCTTTAATAATAATAATAATAATAACCCTTATATAGCGCCGATGTCAATATTGCTGTTTTCATCAGCGCTTAAAAGTAAACATATTAGAAAGAAAAAAAAAAACACTAAGACTGCAAAAAGTATACATGCAAAAAGTGCATGAACCTACCAACAAGAGTGAAAACAATTTTGTCAACACTAAACTATAAAAATTACCTAGACTACTTAAATCGTAAAAACTGCATCATGATAAAACCTACTAACAACGAGATTAAAAAGCACATAAAATCACAGCTTTCTGAAATAAAAATGTCTTGAGTGTCTTTTTAAAAGATGCTACTGAGGGGCTACCCCTAATTGCGTAGGGCAATGAATTCCATAGTTGAGGAGCAGCAACAGCAAAAGATGCGGTGCTTGAAAACTTTCTCAAATAAATTACAATTTAGACACACAAGCTGTAGGCAACTACAGATGGTTAATTCATACCACTCGAATGAAAGAGAATTTTCGAATAATTGGCACAAAATTACTATGATTTGAGCATTTCAAGTCATTGCACTAGCCGTGATGCAACACTAAGGCGGTACACTTTACGTTCAAAGAGCGCTCGTTACCTTATAATTAGGGAAAGTTTAAATTCAATATCGACTTCTCGGTTAATGTTTTTCAATTTAGGAAAGTGTACCTCATATGAAAGGTTCATAACCAATTACGTTGGAAGAACTACAATATTTTAAAACGTTACAGAAATGAAATCCATGGTCGTGTACTCATCTAAGCCAAGAAAAACGTTATCTTTTTCTACCACAAAAGTTGATGTCAACGTTTTGTGCATCGATCCAGCCACAGACAAGTTGACCTTTTATGCGGCAAAAAGTTCCAAATCAAAGAAAAATGGCGAAACATCCAACCAATAGAGCTGGTTTCTATCGCTAACTTTACACCCACAAGTGAGTGTTCTACTACAGACATCAAAGGGGAGTTAAGAGTGTATCTTTAACAGACCAGTTAATCAGAAACCAATAAAAATGGAAACTGCTGAAAAAATTAAAATGATAGGGATTTGCAGTGGGTAGGAAGAGATTCATATGGGGTTTTGTGACTTGGGCGGCTTTATTATCCCACTCAACCCTAAGATCATCGTTCTCAAAGCAGCCGTATATACAGCATGTTAATCTCTTCCACGAGACCGACTTATTCTGTAGGCTGCTTGGAGTATTTCGCGCCATGTGGAATGACAAAGATTAGCTTCAGCTCATACTCCGCGAGCTTCATATTGTTCAAAATGTTCAGCAGGCAGTTTACCGGTACCAGATGAACGGCAGCACAGTAACAGAAATGAGTTGAAAAGAAGGGTGTGGCTCATTCATTGCTTATATAACCGCAAGTCACCTTATTCAAAATGACGGTAGGTGCGCCAAGTAACGAATCTGTGTATCCATCTATGTGCAAAACAAAACAGAAACACCCTTCTAAAATCGGTGAAGGATAATAATCGAAACAGTGAAATCTTTCCATGAATGAGAAGATGGGAACTCAAATGGTGAAATGAGATTTTACTAGTGTCGTAGATCCCTAATCCTAAGAAAATTTATTCCGTATACTTTAAAACTGTGCTGCACACATCCCACCAAGCATGAGTTAACGTTCATGCATCTTGTTTGCATAGACTGTAACCGGCTGACAATTACTTTGTGGTCCAGACATTTTATACTAGTTTACCTTGCGTTTGCGTTAGCCTGCGAGCAAGCTCTCTCGATTAACACCCCTCCCTCTTGCGTCTCCTTTTGAGTGCAGTTTGCACGTGACGTTTCACGATAGCCCCAAATAGACAGCTAGAACGTCGGCTGCACTTGTTTTTTCCTGGTTGACAAGCGTTAAGTGCAAACAACAGCGTTTGGGGAAAGAGTAGGTTCAATTGGTTTTTTCGGCTTCCACTTGCGTTTGTTTATCCAGCCTTCATTATCTTCAATAAAACGAGGCAAGAAGTGAAAAAGAAGATAAAGTGACCTTCACAGTGTTTCCTCAACTCGAGTAGTGCTCATGCAACATACCTGTCGAGCAGTGTATGAATGGGATATGTGTAGGGAACAACAAGTCTAAAGGTTTTAATTTTGACTAAGGGGTATATCGTGGCAGTTTGTGGCTATGAACTGTTTCTTTGGGACGGTGTCGATTCACCATTGGCAAAACTGGTGTACAACCTACTCTTTAGATACAATGACATCTACAACTATCTTGTGGATACAACTATCAGAAAGGGGGGTTCTTCAATTCCTTAAATATGGCATATTTAAGGAAAAAGTCTATGTCATGTGACTTTCGATTGTCGTCTGTGGAGAAAAAACTCTGCAAAAACGCCGTGCGATCACAATTTTTGATCAATTCAGGCTTTTGGGCAATGCTCTATGAATCCAACACAAGATGACGCACGCAGGGCTAACCGGAGGCTTTTCAAACCGCTGAAAAGATTTTTGCCTCGTTTTCATGTAATGATTTGCATTTGTGCGGTAAAAAACAGCCCTTGATAGACCTTGATAATTGAAAAATAGTTGCAAGAGTGTTATCATTTAAACTTGCCTGCGCTGAAAAGGTGCTCCTTCTCACACATGCACAGAAGCAGGAGCCGATTTCGGCTCCTGACAGAAGACAGCTTCAGCACAGGACAACCAACAATAGCCTCGCCATATTTCGAAGGAGGGGCCACGTGACACCAAAGAAAGCATGACAGCAAAGCAAATGTCTTCTTCCACGATATCTACGACTTTTATTTACAGAAACACTCAAAAATGGTATTTTAGAAGGATTTCCACTAACAGCCTCGTTTTCATGTAGGCCATTTTAGGGCCTGCACAGTATTCGTGTCCAGTGTTGAATTTGGCTTGGCTCCATATTCAGAAATGTTAGTCTTAGCGTTGGTTGTAATCTGGCAAAGTTTCATGCTTTTATCATAAAAGTGAACAATTTTGGTCGATAACAGCTGGACTACTGAGATGCAATCTATTGCATTCTGAACGCTTAAATTTTATGATGCTAGTAGGGGCCGACGCGATTGCGGCGGGAGCGCAACCTCCCAGCAAAGGCAGCAATATTGTCTCCCTGAAAAACTGTCAAATCCAGTTTGTTTCACAAGGATATTTACTGCATGCATTCCGGGAGCTTTGGTCATTTGCGACCAAAAATGTAGGCTTCGAACACAGATTCAAAGAAGATTTATAGTAAAAAATTCAACCAAGGAAATGCATCCCAAGGTCATGACTCTAAGACCAATCATAAGTAAATTCATTGCAGCGGATTGATAAATGTCATCCTTCTCTTGTTGCCCTTGGCATAGTCGTCAATAATTGCATCATAATCCAGAGCAACGTCCTTGTGAATAAAGAGCAGCGACAGTGCGTTAAGGCGGTGTTCTCGCATGGTGCTTCTAAAACATTTCTTTACAAAGCGTAATGATGAGTTGCTACGTTCCACAGTTGCACTTGTGACAGGGCCGATCATTAGGAGCCGCAAAATTGTGTGGAGTTTGGAGTATAGGCCTTTGTTGCAGGCTGCCAATTCTTCTTGTAAAATGGAGGCTTTTTCGGTTCTATTGATCCTGAAGATGAAAGCAACCACTTACATATATCGCAAGACAGAAATGGTTTCCTTCGCGTACCACTGAAAAAACGTTTCATAACTATGTACATGAGTACATATAAACTTAGTGAAACTGTGCTGTATTCTTAGTAAATTTGAAATGAAATCACCATACCAAAAGCGCTTCCACAGCTCTGCCTCCTGAGACGCACTGCTTGGCAGTGGAAGATCGGGCAAATAGTGACGAATAACGTTCTTTTGAGAAGACTTTTAAAGCTTCTGCAAGTTGGCAGGTATAAGTAGCATCTTTCGGTTTGTCGGTTTGAAGCTAGTTTATAAGGGCGGTTGATTCGAACAACATTCGATACATTTTCTGCAGTATTATCAATGTTTACTTAAGAAAATATAGTTAAGTAACACAGCTCGACGTACCATCCGACACACGTTTACAAAAGAAAAAAATTCCCGCACAAAAGGGGGCCTGGGCCTCCTGGGCCCACCCCTTAATCCGCCCTTGTTAACGTTGTCAAAACCAAGGCCTCTGTCCCGGATTAATATATGGATCAAATTTCAGTCAATCTACGTCCATTTTATTGTCCATAGGCCCATCTGACCTTGTATTTTGTCTTCCAGGGCTTTGCCTCTAAGCCGTACGTGTTTGTTTCCGCAAAGTACGGCCGCAGTACAAAGCTAACTGATGCTGTTTATGTATGGTTGGAGAATGTAAATTCTGAAGGTTTCGAAGTTTGCATCAGGGAATTCTTGCCTTTTGTTGGAAAACACAGAGATACAATTGTGGTACGTGGGAAATAACGATAAAGTATACACGCAACATAGATATATGTTTTTTTTTCGGGAATCCATCGTCATTTCACCAGCTGTGATCTAGGACAAGGAATAGGTAGTCTCTGGCGTCCCATTAGGCTCCATATAAGGTCCTTTTATATTTAAATTGTACTTAGCAGATCTCCAGGACCACATACTATGCCAGTGTTTAACAGGTTATCTTTTTGAGGTAATGCGTTTTTAGAATTCCTGCAAAAACCGGAAAGGGAAAATTAGCAACCTCTCTTGATATGAGGCATGAGCTAACTAGTACTTCGCAGGCTATCAACTAAAACAGTAAAATGATGATGAATTCTCCAACTTAATTTAGATCATTATACGTTTCTGGGAAACGGCCCACCTACCCCTCCCCTAAGCCAACATTAGCACTTACTTCTCACTTGGGGCAAATCCATCAAATGATCTCTTGGATCATTATACGTTTCTGGGAAACTGCCCACCTACCCCTCCCCTAAGCCAACATTAGCACTTACTTCTCACTTGGGGCAAATCCATCAAATGGTCCCTTGGATCATTATAAGTTTCTGGGAAACTGCCCACCTACCCCTCCCCTAAGCCAACATTAACATTTACGTTTCTGGGAAACTGCCCACTTACCCCTCTCCTAAGCCAAAATTAGCACTTACTTCTCACTTAGGGCAATCCATCAAATGATCCCTTGGATCATTTACGTTTCTGGGAAACTGCCCACCTACCCCTCCCCTAAGCCAACAATAGCACTTACTTCTCACTTAGGGCAAATCCATCAAATGATCCCTTGGACCATAATACGTTTCTGGTTTTCTTTCACCGACAGGACTGGTTCGCATTCCTCAGGCTTGACAACGTGACTGTCGGAGAAAGGTTCTTTCCAAATGACGGATACCCGTCAGCTCAGGACAACTATGGCTTCTGCCAGGTGAGTGGTAGCTGTCAATTAGCTGTCAAGGTACCAAAGACCAAAATACTAGAGTGTTTTGTTTGTGCTTTACTACGTTCATCGATGAGAACAACGATCCTTTATCCTGAGCCATAGTCGAAACTAACTCTGGTTACGTCCGTCTGCGAAACAGCGAGGAAATCCTTGGTATGGGCCCCAACCCGTTTACCAGGATTTGAGTACGCGCCATAATTGGTTTGTTTAAAATGCCATTGTCGATTTGACAGTCAGGTTAATGGGAAGTGCAAAACGTATTTCAGAACAAGGATATCCCAGGAAGGAAAGGAAACCCCAGAACAAGGATATCGGCACGCTTCGCAGACGTTACTAACAGAGGTTAAATTACGTTTGCTACACAGGCTACGATTCTTTATCGTGTTGAAATCCTTATTTCTTACAGGACGTTTCTTTCAATAAAACATTCCACGAGTCACCAGTTGTCCTTGTTTCTGTCAATCACCGATACGACCGCCAGGCGAAGGGCCGGTTTCTCCCGGAAAATAACATAATCTCGACCTGGGTGGAGGTAGGTTTGTGTTTCGTTCTCTATACGCACGTCATTAGACATTCCCAAATAGGAAAACTTTTAAATTTTAAACCACGGTAACACTTTGGTGTGTTCATTTCCTGCCGTTCTCTTTTTCTTTATTCTTAACCTGTCGCCAGGTTTTTATTATCATTATATTTTTTATTACAGCAAGTGTAAAAAAATAACATAACATATAATAACGGAAAGGAAACGTTTCTTTTCGTTTCTTACCGCTGTTCTCGCTATTAACATGAAAACGATTCTCGCCAGCATAATCTGCTAAAATGAAAACACAATTCTTTTGTATTATAATAACTTGCTTGTACTTGCATGTTTGTCTCTCTTTGCAGAACGTTGGCTTACAATCTATGAGGATATGTGTTAAAGACCTCAGTGGATCAGGTCCTATCCATGACCCACTTACTGTAGCCTATGCTGTTGTTGGAGGTACGTTTTTGACTTAGGCCCTTTAAGAAAGCTCTGAAACTGAACTCTACTAAAATATCCACCCTTTTTTTTTCAACATAGACATCGATCCTTGTCTTAACGTGCAATGCCCTCGATTTGGAGTCTGCAAAGCGTATAATACTTATGGCGGTCGCTGTGAATGTAATGATCAATGTCCATCGTATCAAGATCCAGTGTGCAGTGCGAGCGGTAAGACATACGACAATCAATGCTGGCAGAAGCTCGGCTACTGCAAAAGGCTTGAGAGCGACCCCCGTATCTACCATCCGGGAAACTGTGAAGGTAAGCAAGATCGTAAACTGCCGCTTCTAAGCCGTTATAGATCCCCCTGGTTATAAGCGCCCCCGATTTTTTATTAACGTTTTAAATCTGAAATAAAGTTTAACTTGAATTTGTGAAAGTGGCAGATTTTGAACAGTTGCTTCCCATTATATAAAGCACGAAGAATTATGGTAAAAATGCGATAATTAGTCTCCAGGAATACCTTAATAACCAGTAAATGTAAAACTTACTTTGGTCAGTTACTGCTAGAAATGTTCAAAAGAATTTAATCTCCCGAAGTGCTTTTTCTACTCTAGTTATAAACCCTGGTGGGTATAGGCCCCTCCGTTTATTTATAACAGAGTCCTCCTAAAACCCCATACGAAGATGTATAAGCCCCTGCTTGCGACAGTTCCCGCTATGCTGCAATAAAATAACTTGGAGTAACACCAAGCTGATATTTGGTGAAATATGAACAAAGTGAGACGGATTGACATCTCTCGTGGCTTTGCAGATGTAGCGAAATTTTCAAACACCAAATTTGAAGTGGCTCTGCTCAACAAAGTCACGTTATTACGCATCCTCGTTGTTGTCAGCACTGTTGCTTTATGTGAAAGGACTGGATACAATAAGAGCTCTAGCAAATAAATTCATGGGCGACAGACTGTAAATATAAGTTGCTCCTGTCAATATCTAAATGGAGGAAGTAATCATCAGTATAATGCCTAAAATGCGATTAATTGAACAATTAGTTTTTACTTTATTAAATCCTTTGGGAGTGGCCATGGCCACCCACAAAAAGAGCAGCACATGTACTGATCACAGGACATTTTTGTAGTAGTCATTAACAACACAAAACAAAAAGGAAATTCGTAACATTACAACTGAACTCGACGAAATTTGGTAAAAACTTCAGCTGAACCGCAACTGAACAAGCAACGCAAACGCACTAGAAAAAATTCCAAAAAAAAAAAATACGGCATAAACAAACTTCGGCGCGCGTCGGTATCCAGCTGAGCGGAAGGGCAGCGCCTATGAATAAGAGGCATTGAAATCATGAGATTATTCACATGAACCAAATAGTGTTTTAAGTTGATATTTTTTTGTTGAACAGTTTTTCCTATTGTGCGGGGCCGAGAAGACCTTCTCCGTGTTCCAAAATGGCTCGATTCAAGTTGTCGGACCGTTACATTTCCAGCATACCGGTTCTACCCGGATAAACAGGTTCATGTCCAAATAACTGTCAATCACATCAAATTGAATGACTCTGTTAAAGTCCACGACGCGGTGACTGCATGGACAGAAAACATCAGCGTAAACAACTTTACAGTTTGTGCCTTGCAAGCAGGAAGGAAAAAAGAGAAATTTACCCCTTTTGCCAGCATTGATTGGGCTGCCTATCAAGGGAAGCCTCCTGAAGCACTCACGGGAACCGTTAATTTGCCCAAATGGTGGAGTGGTACAAACTGCGAGAAGGTGACGTTTCCCAAGGTACGATGGGAACATTTTAAATGTTTCACGAACCGTTTTTTTTGTATGCAGAAGTGACGAATTATTATCATGACGATGAAGGGAATTTTGCATGGGCTTAATTGGTGTCTGCTACATGAAACAAAAGCACCAAACAAACGAAAATTATCATCGTAAAATCATGCGCAAAGTTAAACGTAATTTATAGTTGATATCGGCATATTACCTAAAACCTGGTGCCGGACCGCAACATGCGCAGTGCTGTAGGGAATTACATCTTCGCGCGGTGTTCATTTCAGTAATCCTAAACCATCTATATATGACTGTTTCATCCGCATTTTTTAAAACCTTGTAAGGCTCCGTCGAGTGAACACTATGACGGATTGATTTATCTTACAGCCTTTCGTCCACACTAAACAGGATGAATTGTCCACCCATCCCAAAACAGCACTTTTCGGAAACGCTTTTCATGGACCTCTGAAAACTCACTGTATAAGATGCGTTTTGAAATTTATTCGGACTAGTGTGGAAGGAAAACCGTTTACAATGCTTTTTTCAGTTTCTCCATTTTCCATTTTTTTCTTATTAATGTGGACAGTGCGCGTAAAATACCCTCCTTAACTTAATCTTTTTCAAATTGTTTTTGTTGTTGAACATTCCAGTTTTCACAAATTTACTCGCTTTTTCATCAGGGAAGTTTCATTAAGGCCCCAGTAGTCCTTGTGACTTCAGAGCACCTGAAAACAGGTCAAGACTATGATGCCGCTCTCATCTGGACCGAAGACGTAACACGTAGTTCATTTCAAGTTTGTCTGCGGGAACTGCAAAACTTTGATGGTAAACACGAGGATATTAGTGTGGTATGTGTCAGAAGTAAAACTAGAAACATATTTATTGCTCTTAAACGGAAAGAGAGACCTGGATAATCATTTCTTTCATGAAAAGTTGTCGCTAAGCAAGATTCTTTGGGCAACATAATAGCCGGCATAATAGCCCAAGTCGTCTCAGAGTCGCCTCCAAACAATTAGGGCGATCGCAATTACCTGGATACGACTGAAGGTTTAAATAGTCGTTCAGAACGTTGGGATCCGTTCCAAGTCGTTGCAGAACATTGATTTAGGCTACGAAGACGATCTGGACGAGTGTATGGAAACCAAGCCTTTATTTAATCGTACAATCTTTCGCATTTACCAACTTGTGCCAATTCAATTCAATTCATTTCCTCACAACTTATTTGCTAATCTTAAAAAATTATACTCCTTTATAGGTATATACGTTCATTTTATTTGGTTAATGTTAAGGTTTGAGTATGGTGGCCAAATTAACCATTCAGTTTTCTGATTGGCCCCCGTATTGCAAAAATACGTTTCTTTTAATACAGGCGGAAAAGAGACGCAAACGAGACGCTGTGGGACCGGATATTTGGGCGTCGATGAAATAAGCGTGTGTGAAGGTTTTTTGTGTATTGGGATGTGTTAGTAGTGCAGTAGCGTTGTATATTTTAGGGGTTGGTTGAGATATTTGATGTGGAAGGCGTGGAGTTATATTGGACGTGGATTGGTAAGATAATGACTGTAGTGTATCAGTGAAACTGGTTTCTCGTAGAATTTAATATGAAGTAACAAAAACTAATTTTTTTGGAAGGTAAAAGTGATTTTAGGTGTTGCTATGAGGTAGTTGTGGGTGTGCTAATTTCGTTACGAAGGATAGTGTAGTTTCAGTCGGCTTAAATGAAGTGGTGGTTTTGAAAGATCTTATCAATAGTCGAAAACATACTTGTACTTATTTTAAACGTTGTTCGGCTTTCTGTTTAGGACTCTTTTTCGGTTATTTTTTATAATATTTGTATGGAGAGAACGTGGATAAGGGAAAGTTCATTTAATATAGAGAAGTGGGTATGAAGATGTTAGGAGGGGGGGCTGAAATTTTGTGTGTGTCTTTTTTTTTGCGCGAGGGCAATTATTTTCTAAAGGGAAAATCTAAATTATTTAATAGTTTCACTGAACCTTGTTTTTTCAATACGTTTGATTTCTATTGCCGATTTGTTTGCTGTGCCTCATCTGTGCGATGCATATAAATGTAACGAGGATAAATGCTGTGTCTTGACAAATCGCTTGGAAGACATTCTACTCGCGTCGCTTGGCTTGTTTACTTGGCTCGTTTACGTTCGCACGTATTGCGTGCCTATTACAACTTTGAATCAAAACAAGCGATTTCGATTACTCTATTTGGGTGACGCCCAAATAATAACAATTACTGCAAGAGAGATATGAGAGGTGGTTGGCACAAGTTCCTTCTCGAGAAGGTTCTAATAACCTGCTCAGTTGTAGCCATAAAGACCTATCAAACGTGACCGGCCGCAAAAACGACATATACGCACGGTCTCTTCAGAAAAATTGCTGTATTGAAAACAATTATTATACAATTATTGGATGAGGTTGAGCATGATATCATGAATTATCAAAAACGAGGTCTGTGTTATCTTCCGAAGCCGAAGGCTGAGGCAGATAATACAGACACGAGGTTTTGATAATTCACGATATCATGCGAAAACCGAATTCAATAATTGTTTTATTATATATTTTTTAAACAATAGGCAAAAGAAGACATTCATCTGTTGTTATTATACATCAGACTCACTATGAAAAATCTGATTGGTGGAGAGCATTAAATCAATTCACAATAGCTTGTTAACTTGACATGATAAATGCAATATCTGCTGCAGATATTGCATTTATCATGTCAAGTTCAACGTCTGCCTGGTTACAAAGCCCCTTGGAGTGTTCTCCTCAGAAACAGAGACTTCCAATTAATGTTTATAAAGATTTTCCGTTAAGGATTTTTGCATTTTAATGTATACTTTATTCAGACAAAGGTTTTATTATTGTCTTTTAAAATTTTGAAATGATCTTGGTTAAGCTTATCAGTGTCACTTTCACCTTAGTTTTGAAAAAAAGCCATTTTTCAACAGATGAATGTCTTCTTTTGCCTGTTGTTTAAAAAATGTATAATAAAACAATTATTGAATTCGGTTTTCGCATGATATCATGAGTTATCAAAACCTCGTGTCTGTATTATCTGCCTCAGCCTTAGGCTTCGGAAGATAACACAGACCTCGGTTTTGATAATTCATGATATCATGCTCAACCTCATCCAATAATTGTACAAAAAATGGCTTTATTTCAAAACTAAGGTGAAAGTGACACTGATAAGCTTAACCAAGATCATTTCAAAATTTTAAAATACAATAATAAAACCTTTGTCTGAATAAAGTATACATTAAAATAGAAAAACCCTTAACGGAAAATCTTTATAAACATTAATTGAAAGTCTCCGTTTCTGAGGAGAACACTCCAAGGGGCTTGGTAACCAGGCAGACGTTAAACTTGACATGATAAATGCAATATCTGCAGCAGATATTGCATTTATCATGTCAAGTTCACAAGCTATTGTGAATTGATTGAATGTTCTCGACTAATCAGATTTTTCATTGTGAGTCTGATGTATAATAAGCTAACAAGACTGAATTACGATGACAATATCATTGCAGAGTCAATGTAGCTTACAACCACTAATTTCAATGAATTCTTGTTGGCAGAACTGGTTTGCGTTCTCTAAACTGCTGAAAAAACCGTTGTCTATAGAGCGCGGCGGCATAGATTTTCCAGGCACCAAAAACTCTAACCCACCACCGTTGGATGAAAATAATAATGCATACTGCAAGGTAAGAATAGACTAGAAATTAATACGTATCACATTTATTATACGATTGGTTGTCAAACGTTACTCACAGTTTTGTGGAACTTTAGCCAAGGAATGGTGAAACGTTTTAACTAAATGTTTTTGGGTATTTCTTGTTTTTCAGTTCGTGTTATTCACAAGAAGTTATAGCTCGACTCCAACAGTGCTCATCGCTGCTAATCACAACACAAACGTATCCGGGAACTCAGCACCAGTTCATAACGGTATTTCCACGTGGATTGAGGTAAAAATCGCCCTAGTTTGATACTATTTCAGGTCAGTTGCAAGGGTAACGGAGCTTTCCGCAGATCATAAAAGAAAACTTCTATTAGCGCTGTGAATAGATGCGTTGACAATCAAAGAAATTGGATGTTCAAGGAAGGATTAATTGCACCTGTCATACAAACGCCAGTTTTTTTATTTCGAACAATGCCGCTTGACGTCTGCGTATCTATGTTTTGTTTTGTTCTGTTTTCAGAACATGAATGCCTCTGGATTCAGACTTTGTGTCAAAGAGTTGTTTGGAACAAGATATGATCCCTTGTCAGTGAGTTATGCAGTGCTTAAAGGTTAGAAAATACTGAACATTTGTCCTAAACGTATTTGTTATTTCAAATAAACATCCAAAAAGACATATTTTGGTAGGCTCTGTGCACATGTGCACGTTTAATCTCCCGTTTTCACGTTAACAAACACATTCAAGCGGATTTTATGCTAGCTGCCGTAAAATTCCTAACATAAAAAGGCCCCGAATATAAGCCCGCAAACTTGAGTCCCCAAAAGGCCTTTTATAAACCCCCCCCCCCACCCCCGTATACTTGCCCCTGGAGAGGGTGGAGGGGGGGTGTTTATTTGGGAATCACTCTCACAAACGGAAAATCGTTCCATATCGGAATCCCAAAAGACAAACTCGGACATGAATCTTCACATTTCAGATTTCCATGAGTAAATTTTGAACTACTGTGTCGTTTCAGGGTGATTCATGGGATCGGAATGAAGGTGTTCTCAAACAATTACACAGACGCAGTTAATCGATAAACCGATATTAATCGATAGTAATCGATATCAGTCATCGATGAATATCGATTTTTGATATCGATCGATAGAACTCGATAAAGAAAAACGTTGTGACTTCGATTAATATCAATGATTTTCCGATAGAAATCGATAATTATATTTTAATCGATTTTGTTAATCGATAATAATCGATAAATTTTTTTCCCTGTCACTTTGATTTCTATCGATTTCCGATATCAATCGGCGGATTAACATCGATGATATCGATTGATTTTCGACATTAATTTTTATCGGGGGAGCGGGGATGGCGCAGTGGTGAGAGCACTCGCCTTCCACCAATGTGGCCCGGGTTCAATTCCCGGACTCGACGTCATATGTGGGTTGAGTTTGTTGTCGGTTCTCTTCTCTGCTCCGAGAGGTTTTTCTCCGGGTACTCCGGTTTTCCCCTCTCCGCAAAAACCAACATTTCTAAATTCCAATCCGGAATGCTCGAGCGTTTAATACATGAGCCCCTGGCTCGGGAGATTGGGCAACCACTCCTCACGCTATCGAGCTTAAATAAAATTAATTTAATTTTAATTTAATTAATCTATTAACTACGTCTGGAATTACGTACGTATGTAATGTGAATGGGGTCTAACAAAATGCTCGTTTATACCTGACGACGCCCAGGACATAAGGATCCACGAAAGCCAAAGTGATTTTAGGGTTTTTGGTATTTTTACCACATATAGATATCTGTGATCCTGGCTGGAGCTACTTTAATGGATTTTGCTATGCAATCAGCAAGAAGTGCGCAAATTGGACCGAAGCTTTGGCTAATTGCCGGCAGGAAGACGCAAGTCTCGTCAACGTCAACAGTAATGAAGAAAACGTATATATACAACACCTTCACAATGGGACAAAGTCCTGGCTGGGATTAAATGACATTTCCAGAGAGGGAATCTTCACTTGGGCAGGAAGTGGAGAAGGAAACTTCACCGCTTGGGCCAAAAACCAACCAAACAATGTTGGTGATGAAGATTGTGCCCTTACACTTGGTGTTGGCCACAAATACAAGTGGAATGACGTGAAGTGCAGTGATTGTCATCAGTATACTTGTACTTACACCGGACACGGTACATAAAATGCTGTTTTAATAATAATAATAACAGTAATACAATAATCAACAACTTTATTAATTAACATCTTGTAAAAACCTATACACAAAAGAAAAAAAACTGCAGTAGGGTAATTATAGTTCCTCGCCATATACATATATGAAATTCTCAAACTAAAAGCATAGGAGTTAGTTGAAGAATATATATATATATATATATATATATATATATAGATTTGCAGAGTTGGATTATTTGGTCGAAGACATTTATCGCTCTAGTTTACCTATTGAGCACTTTAATAGCTGATGAAATCTTCAATTATATATATATATATATAGTAATATAATGAATTGAAGATTTCATCAATTTATATATATATAAATTCGTCCTTAAACCATGTGCATGACAAAACCATCCATTATGCCTATCAGCCTCTAAAACTAAAAAGTTTTTTTAAAATGTTTCTAAAACGAAAAAAGAAAGATTAATTCGGGCAGGCTCAAACGTTTTCGATCTGCAGATCTGAGTCAACAAAGTCTAGCCGTCGTCCTCTGGATCTTGAACCTCTCAAGCTTAGTACCGCAGAGCGTAAAATGGCGAAAGACACTTTAGCTCTTATCCAGGAAATTGCGCTTGAGCAACTTTCTCCCTTCTTATTTGCAATCAGCTCCGCAAGTCTGCCGTGATACTTAACACACTCTGCCATTCCGCCTTTGGTCGTGAAAACTAGGGGAGTGAACAATCCCTGTTCGATCTTACTTACTCTTTCCGCATACTGCCTCTTCTTCTCGTTCTCAAGTTTCTTGTAGATCTGCTTGGGAGTCAAGTCTCTGTAAGAGCCTGCGTTGGGTGACACACCCGAACATCGAAAAATGCAGATCTCTATCTCTCCCAAAAGCCTCGAGCAAGAATATCCAAATGGGCATCAGGGGCTTTGTTAGCGCCATGATTGGTTAAAAATATTCAAAGGTGATCCGCTTCAAGATATGTAATTCGGATACCATATTTATCGTAATCATAATTATAACAAAATTCAAAGTTCTCAAATCTGATTGCCTATCAACTGCCCTAATTTCAGCGCTAATAGGACATTGTAATAGGACAGTACGCGTTATGCTTAAGTCATTAGGGACCTTACTATCTGACAACCGCGACACCAATGAAAACGTCACTGAAAAATAGACTTCGCAGCCATTCAAACTTTTTCGCGACTATCCCAAGTCACCCAGTCATTTGAAAGAAGGAAATTTAAGTTGGAGCTGAGGAGAAGGGACCGCGCCCGAGTTCAGACAAAGATGGTAGCATTTATCGCCTGGCATTTTCCGTTCACAATTCATCTTAGAAGTGGGCATTCCATGTCGCACTTTGGCTGGAACGACAAAGAAATCTACAAAAAAGCGTGATGCACGTGCAGAGTTGTTGTTTTGCTCATTAAACCTATTGCTTTTTTGACGTTCCTGTTGCCGTCGCCGTCGTAGTTCGTAAAGTCCCTATTAGGGAGTGACGACTACGGCAGCGAAAACGTCACTTTTAAAACGAATTAGAGTTTTTTCAAACTTTGTCGCCTTTCTTCAAGTCCGGTGAAAATGTCTAATGTAGGCAAATTTCCCTGGAGTTGATTTGTTGGGGACCGCACTCAAGTTTAGAAAGAGAAAGAAAATTTCGTCGTCGCTTGTTTACGTCCTCCATAAAACTTGAAATTAGGCATTTTTACGTCATAGTCGTGCAGTAACGACAAAGAAATGTGCAAGAAAGAGTGATGCACGTGCAAACTTGTTGTTCTGCTTAGTAAACCTATTGCTGTTTTGACGTTCTCGTTGCCGTCGCCGTCGTCGTTGCTAAAAGGGACCTTACGAAACTACAAAGGCGACAGCAACTGGAACGTGAAATAAGCAATACGTTTAATGAGCCAAACAACAACTCTGCACGTGGATCACGCTTTAACTGGGCCCCTTGGAATAATTGGGAAAAAAAGTGAAAGGATGAGAAGTCTATTTTTCAGCGACGTATTCATGGACGTCGCCGTTGTCGGATCGTAAGGTACCCAAAACTCCCTATTGGACAAGACGCGCCCACACGCGCGCACTTAAGTGGCTTTTTTTTTTCTCACTGCTAGCAAAAAATCTCGGATTTCCTTGTGTTTTGATTTCAAGAAAGATCCTAATATATCACAAATTTTGTTATGATTAATTGGTGACAGAACTTCGTGTTGTCCAACTCGGTCTGTAATCGCACTCGTGATTAAACAAATCACTCTTTGTTAATCACTCGTATGATTTCAGACCGAATTGGACTCCACTAAGTCCTGTTACCATTACTCATCAATCTTTCTCTCAGGTTTAGAAGAGTCTGCTATTGTGGGAGAGAACAGGAACTATTTGAGAATTTTAACGAGTTGGTTATCCCCTGTGGTGCAAAGGAGTAATTCTTTCTGGAAACGCTGTTGGCGTGCATCTTTTGACGGCAGGGCTGCAAGTACATTTCACTCCCGATGTGACGGCAAGGGCCCGACTGTGACAATAATAAGGGTCGGGAGATATATTTTTGGAGGATACACTAGTGTATCATGGTGTAAGTGAGCGAGTGACGCCAGTCGTCGAAGAACTATCAATTAAATATTTAATGTTATTTCACCACGACACACTTACAATAATTAAATCCATTGAGTAAAACTTTTTAAGTATATTCTTGCATTTCTTCCGTTCAGTTTTAGTGAGAAATTTGGCTATCTCGTCTTCGGTTAGCCGCGTGAACGCTTTCGTCATTTCCATGCGTTCATCCATGCCAAACAGCTAGGCTACTGCACGCCACTGCCTGGAAACGAAGTTGCGATTGTACTTTGGGGCAATATACCATCGCATCGACGGTTTATTGCACGCATCTTCCAAATTTTGTCAGCGACAGCAGGTTATCAAGTGAAGAATAAGTCAGCGGATTAAAGCCAATCAGAAACGGAGAAATATTCTAAATGAATAATGAAGAATATGAAAATATAGAATAACTAGTGGTGAGGAGACCTCAAGAAACCGCCGTTCTTGTCCTGAGAGGTCCCCTCGATGACAAAACTAAATTATTGATATCGGGTGGCCAGATTGTACCGGCAAAATTAATTTGTTTGTTTTATTTACTTTTACATATTTTCATTAATTGTTGGGAAGATCAAGAAGATTTCTTTTGAAGGAAGATAAGAGGTACCGCAAATGCTTGGATTAGCGCCGAAGGGCGAATATTGAATTTTTTTGACTTGAGATCGAAAGGGTCGCTTATTTGAAGGGGGCGCTTATTTCTTTCTTCAGAATTCCAGCCTCGAAACGACCTTGTCTTTGCTTCAAATGAACAAAACCTGTAACGCTAAACAGGAAAACGTAAACATGGCTTTCACTAGAAACCAAACTTTGTGCGTTTTTGGTACTCATTTTTCGCTTTTAATGTCCTGTAGTCACTAAGTTCTTTCGCAATCCTTGTCAGAGGAGCCGTGTCTTCTACATGCGACAGTGTAATGTCCTCAAATGAGTCATTCTCTAGTTTACTATGTACATTTTATTTATGCTACATCTCTTGAAGGTACAAGAAGTGCATGCCTGATAGGGTGTGTTAGCCCTTGGCCGATGAATCGGGCCAATTTCGTTCCATACGGAACGATGCAGATTATGTGTTTCCGAACCCCCCTTAACTTCCGGTTTAAGTTATTAAGTTGCTAAGCAACGAATTCAGGAACGATAGATCTTATCACCGATACCTCATTTTGGAAATTCTAACCAATCCTGCCAGAGCTACACAAAGAAACCTACTAACATTTTGAGGAAAAATATACTGCCAATTTCGCTATTCACCGACTGCTCTTTGCAAATTAAATTTCTCCCTTTCCTGAAAAGTTGGCCAGCCACAATTTATTGGGGAAAGAAAGACGATAAATTGGGTAACAAGACAAGACTTAAAATAGAAAGAAAGATTGAAATATATATTTGCAAAAGTATTTCCAAATTTTGGCTTAAGTGCATGCACCAAAAACAAAAATGAAGCTTCACTGGCGGGAGAATATGCAAATGGTTAAGGGGGCGCTAATTCAAGCATTATCGGTAACTGAAGGAGGAAAAGCATTGATTTCCGTTTTCTTGTTTGAAACTGTATGAAGTTCAAAGGGTGCCTCGTAGCACTACACAAACGGTAACTGATCGAACAAAGAGAGAATCGAATTAACTCTGAAGTGAAAATTCAAGGGCGACAATTAACCATTAAACCCCACTGAGAGTTATTCCCAGTAAAGGGAATTAGGGGATCATACGAGGCAGGCAAGGAAAGAAATCTTTTAAAATCGGTGGGATTTGAACCCACGACCTCTGGACTAGATCTACCGTAGCTTAACCGACTAAGCTATGAGGCCTGAGGAAGCAAGTCGTCGGTAATTAAAAGGTGGTGGATCGCGGCGAGGAAAGAGTGTGAGGGGTACATAGAACGTTGTCCTGCATAGCACTAGTAAGAACAAATGATGGAATAAAGAGCCTCTTTCTTCGTCACAATAACTGTCTACGAGCCTTTTTCTTGTATACCTGCTTGCCTTAGAAAAAGGTACATTATATGGGTGGCTTCGCTGTGAGTACTAAGGCAATGTTGCTATTAGCACTTACTTCTTTTTCTTTTCTTTCTCAGTCTTCTATTACTATGGCCAGTATCAATACGACTCAAAAGCGTTTCTGTTTTCACTGGTGAACAAGCCAGGATGGCCACCTGTCAAACTGCCTCAGACAGGGAGATATAGCTTTTACAGACAATCCATATACTGTAGCAAATCCTATGGGCCTACATTCGGAGGAGGAAATGACATGAGGTCTTATTACAGCAACCTTGGCCATACTTACAGCCCACCGAGCGGATACAGCTACGGCAGCACCTTCGCCCGAACATTCTTGGCAGGATCACCCTACTTCACACCAGACGAAGTAGAAACTTTTTACGAAACAACCTAAAATGCAGTGTGCTGCATCAGCTTTGACATTTCGCTGGGATTGTTTTCCTGTATTGCGCATAACTAAAATTAAAAATTCACAACTAAATTAATCGCAGTTATATCCTGTCCTTGCTAAAAAGGCTATCTTTAACTATAAGGCAATTGGTTGCTGCTACGAAATAAAGCTGGAAAACTGATAGTTAAATAAAACTACCCCATGATATATTATGTTGAATAATATGATTATTCGGTATGTCACGGCTCTAGGGTTTAGTGTAAAATCCGTTGTTTTTGTGAGCGCTTAAGGAGATGCGTTTTTAATAATCTAAGACGTCATCGATTAAGCTCTCTTATAGTTATGTTACTTTTGCCCTTAAGGGAAAAAAGGAAGAATTTAAGAAATAAAAACCTTTTTTTTTTTTAATCATCTTTTGGAAGCCTAAGTTCAAACCGTAACTCCTGATACAATATAGACGTTTATACGTTTAGCCTGGGAGTTCACTTCCCAAATTTGAGAGCTAATACATACTTTCATGGTCACTTTTTTTTTTCTATCAGGCGCTTTGGTACTGTCTATTTCAATAAGTTGGACGAATCTGCACTAGGATTACCATTAACGTAACATGAAAAGCAACGGTTAGAAGAGTTTCAAACACAAAGAAGAGAGGCAGGATTGCCTAGAAAAAAAAAGGTTTTCTGAGATCTGAATGACCACCTATTGCCGCACTGATTATGCACAGACTGACAGGTTTTGCATGTTTGAGACGATGTGCTACTTAGCTATGACACACTTGCTGCTTTTGTAATGAATTTCGGGACACAGCTTTTCAAGTAAACCTTTTTTGCATGTTTGAGACGATGCGCTAAATATCGCTATAATTAACTTGCTTTTAATTTTGGTTTTAGTAAAAAGGGCATTATGAACAAACAAAGAACAATAGCAACAACCGAAGGTGTAAGGTTACATGATAGCCACTAAGCAATACCTTTATCATTGTTATTAGGGACTGGTCAAAAAGTATAGGGGAGGGGGGGGCGGTGGGCCGTAGCATTTGGAAATGTGGTTGATAAAAAACACATGACACACCCCCTCCCTTCGGCACAAAAATGACTGACCCACCCCTAAAGCAAGGTTGGAAATTGCATGACCCACCCCCTAGTTAAAACATAGATGTTTTGTTTCCTCTTAATAACCCAATAAAACTTTGTTCTGTGCTTGACAAAATTTGTTGATACACTGCTACAACCAATATCGAAATCACAGAAATCATACCTTTCACTGAAAAGACAAATGTGAAAAACCGAACATTTCTTGTTTCGATGGACGTTATGAGTCTTGACACAAATATACAGCAAAACAAGGGTACATTGAAATTGTCTGTCACAAAGCATATGAAAGACAACCCGTTCCTACACATTACTTGCTGGAAATTCTTAGATTAATCCTTAAAAAAAATTTCTTCCACTTCAATGGAAAGCACTACCTACAAAACCATGGAACTGCAGTGGGCACAAAGACAGCAGTTTTGATTCCTTTGCCGATAATTTCATGACATATATGAAACAACAACTCTAAGCAAACCTGTCTTTAGAACAACAGTTTGGAAATGCTACATACACGATATCTTTTCCCTATGGGACATGAGTAAACCAGACATCGGAGCCTTCACTGAACAAGCAAACTTACATCACCCAACTATTAAATTCACGGCCGAAACATTTGATGCTGAGACTGCGTTTTTAGACACGGTTGTATACAAAGGCACAAGATTCAAGGAAAAATCCATCCTTGATGCAAAGACACATTTTAAACAAACGGAAACCTTCTTGCACACACATTTCACCCCATGTCACCCTCCAAATGTTAATATCTCCTCAGAAACAACTTTGAGGGAAATAATTAAAATTAAAAAAAAAAAAAGCCTGATGAACGGAGGCTACCCACAATCTTTGATAGAAAACCTACTATCAGAAATAAAATTCACAAAAGGGAGTCTAAACTCCTAAAGGAGGAAAAAGAAATATTGCCATTCGTGACACAATACCAACCCTTAGTGTCTACTATAAAGGAAGCTTGAACGAAAAAATGGAATCTAATACAAAACCAACTATAACTTCAATAAATTTTTAAAGAACCACCAATCATTTCCTTACAAAAAAGGAAAATCATTAAAGGACATGCTCGTTAGAGCCAAAAAAAAAAGGTTAACAGAGGGTTCCATGCTCGTATAGATGTGCGGCCTGTCACCCTTTGTATTTTATCGCACAACAGGTTTGTGAGTATTTTAGCAATAATTCCAGCTGGCTGTGTTTCCGTATTTAACAAGTGTACAGTCAACTGTCTCGTTAGTAGTTAGTGCCTATCTATGTAATAAAATAGGGTGACCCACCCCCTAAGGGTAGCTGAAAGTTGCACGACCCACCCCTGGCACAAGGCTCAAAACCTCATGACCCACCCCCCTCTGCCCCGGCCCAACCCCCCCCCCTTTACTTTTTGACCAGCCCTTAGTAACTGCGCTTTCTCGAAAAAGAAACCAAATAAGTGTTAAATGTAGTTTTGAGGCACTAAGGTCTGCTTTATTTTGACTTGTGTGATTTTGTACACATATCGTATAAGCAAATTTAATGTTCTTTTCAGTCTATTGTGTTACCATCTAAAAAAAGACTTTTATTGTATTTCAGTAATAAAGTAACATTGGTGTACCAGGGTTCTCTAGTTTACATTATTGCCATTAAATTCAGAATTTATCGTAACGATGTAATGAACCTTCGATCTAATCACTCAGAATAGACGCAAACGCATTAAGCGTATTATTAACAATTATTCCTCGAGCCCGAGTGGGCTCTGAGTCAATAGCCCATGAGGCCGAAGGCCGAATGGGATATTGTCTCAGAGGCCATGAGGGCGAGAGGAATAATTGTTTTAGTAAAATCCAACTAGTTAGTCAAAAATATCGAGAACGAGAATAAAAAAAATTTAGCTAGTTAAAGCTAGACTTTAATCCTTTTTTGCCGCTAAAAAGCCTGCGCTTTTTGCTACTAGTGGGCTATTACATATAGCCTAGTAGTAGCTCAACCAATCAGAACGCAGCATTGATAATAGATCACATGTTGGATTTTACAAATTTGATATATTTATGGATCTAATTCTTTCTATGTTTTTTAAAACATAGAAAGTCAAGGCCTCGTTTCCGGCTTTTTCCCTTTTCCCCTTTTTCCCATACCTGAACATGGATAACGCCCTCGAGAATTCAACTCCAGGAAAAGTCTCCTACATTTGACGAATCGAGCGATTCCAAATAGACGCAGTTAAGTTCTCTGAAGTTTGAAAGGGTGCAAATTCGTTTTTTTAGTGATGTTTTTACTGCCGCCGTCGTCGTCGTCGTTTCTTAAGGCCCCTAATAAGTAGACAAGACGACATAATGCTTCAACACTGAATTCCAAGCGTGCCCATCTCCCGGGCATTTGTCATCTTGTCGGCCCGGGGGTGGGGCATTTGTCAATTCTTGTTAATATCGTTCCTTTTTCAATATTTCTTTTAAAAATATTTAAGATATTTCTTTAAGGAATATTTTTAACACATATGCTTTAAATGTGCTTTTCGCTCTATCACCACCCTAGGTATATACCGCTTCACAAACCTCCCTTAATTCAGTAGACAGGGTTGGAATCTCTGTTGACTTTCTTGCAGTTTTGTGTGATCATGCGACGATTAGTACGTTCCTAGTACGTGGACGGAACGGTTCCATCGTGATACGAAATTACTCTGTTTAGCTCGTCCGTTTTTTTTTTTTATCAATGACTATTTTAAATACCTTTGAAAATAAGAAAGGTGTTATTAAAAACTCTAGTTTATAAATCTGTCATTGATATTATTCAGATCGATGTGATCTTTTTTGCATTATAACCAGTGTTTAGATTCAGATTTTCACAGATTCCCATAAATATGGCATTTGCAGCTTATTTGCAGGAAAATGAAGTTTTGGTATTGTCCCGGGGTGGGCATTTGCACACTGCGTGGGTGTTTTAAAGGAACCGCCCAGTCCCATTGTGGGGAATCTGGTAGGCTGGTAATTTCATTAAAACGTAGAAAGAAAATCAACCTCGTTTCCGGGCTTTTTCCCTCAGAAATTGCGTGAGACTCGCTCCTCCCAAATACTGCGCGCGGATAAAGCACTACTAACGAGGTTGGCAGAAAATTTCGTAATGACGGACGACTAACGAAGAGAGCATTATCAGCAGTCATAATCGGGGTAGGAGACTTTAAGTGCAGGGTCCTCGCGGTTCCATCGAAATAGCCAAATGTGCTAATTTTAGAACAAACTGCACCACCCTGAACGTCACAAACTCGCGCGGGAACCCTGCAAATTTGCGCGGCTCTCGTGTGGAATTTCGGGAGATGGGTAATCTTCTTCCCATTTTTCTTTTTTTTTCTTTTGATTGTTCTCTTAATTTTCCAAGTGCTTAATATCTCCATATACAGTGCATGCACAGTGGAAGAATAACCAAGAGCCACCTAATGTCATATAAAAATTACTAGAAATGCATTTATCGCAAAAACCTCGCGAATCTGTAATGGGCCAGCAGTAAGAATAAAGGCAAACAAGCCAAATGGGGAAACTATGACTTAAAAAAACAAAGACAAAAACAAAACAAGAGTCGAACCTGGACCATCTGCACCAGGCTGCCAAGGATAACGTTAAGTGGGAAAATTATTATATTCAATGTATTTGCCTTAAAAATAATGTAAACGACATTTTCCCTGAACCAAAAATTGATCGTTTGCTGAGTAGGCTTATTACTTTCATATGGTAAGATAAAAAGTAGGGGTTACCACTCGTTATTAGAAGTTAAATTGGTTTGTTTCGACCTTAACTTAACCGCTATGGGGGTCATTTACAATTTTTCCCATCCCCTCCCTGGTCAGTTTCACTATTGCTTCACTCATCGCGGAGTACTCTGGGATATCCACAATGGCTGACAGTCAGAGAACAACAACGCGAGGAAGAAAACAAAAACGGAAAGTGAAGCAAAACATTTCATGGACTATAAGGAAAACAAATTGTACCATTTCAGTCAACTGGAGCTTCTCCGTCTCAAAAATTTAACAAAAATTTTTGGAGAAGAGCAATCTCCAAGGTATTAAAGATTACTTCCAGCGCACATAGAGTAGTATGGCGAGCTCAAGATCCAAGGCTGGCGCT